AAAAAAAAGAAGCTATTTTGAAGTTGAAGTTTGTTCCGGTGGAGTGTAATCGAGCAAAGGGAATAACACATTACCGTATGCCAGCTCCCATTCTTAGATTAAGTGATATAATATAATGTTTTAAAGATTAAATAAAATTAAGCGTGTTGACTATAATCAAAGCCCCATCCATAGATCCAAAGTACAAAATAAAATATTGTTTGCACAAAATAAGAGGAAGAAAATTGGTCAATGGAATATCATAAGGACGCGTCAAACAATTTTACTTAAAAAAATATTTGTTTAAAATTTATTATGTGATTTTAGTTATTAAAAAGAGTATTTTTTTTCTGATTCTGAATTTGAGAAAAAATATTTAGTGTATATATGCATTGTTAATAACTAAATTAAATTAAGAATAAATATTATAACTTGTAATATTAGAGACTATTCAAAAAAAAATATTTGTTTAAGATCTAATTTCTACATTTTAATTTTGTAATATTAAATCCTAATATTATTCTTATTTAAAAATATAATCTCTCTTAATTTTTGCTCACCTAACAATTATAAAATAAAAAATAAATGTTTAGTCCCTACGTAATTTGACCTTCAATCTTTAAAAACAAATTAAAAATTAGGGTTAAGTTTAAAAAAAAGCTAAAAATGATTTTTTTACACTAACTTTTTAAACTGGTTGAGAATTCAAATGAATGTGAAATTTAAAAATAAAAAATAGAGACTAAATTAAAAAGAATAAAATTACTTTAAAATTTATAATTTTAAAACAAAATATAAATTTTTCTTACATTTTTATAATTTCTCTTTAAAAAATCATAATTATTGCTTAGAAATATTAGAAAAATATCAAAATAAAATTTTAGTTACAGTAGAGAGACAAATGAGATATTACTCATTGTTTTTAATGTGTCACGTCATTTTTACCTTAAAAGTTTAGTGTTCAAAAATTATTTTGGGATAGTTTAACGATCATTTTTTTAAAAAATTTTACCTTAAAAGTTATTAAATAATATAAATTTTCAATTGTATAGGTTTACAATTTTTTAAATGTCAAATTAATAAAAACGGTAAACGTAAGGAAATTATAAAGTTAATTTACCTTTTTTAGCTACTATATTAATAATACTTGCATCCAAATTTAGAAAATTTATAATACAAACTAATCAAAATTCGCAATAATTCAATTTTCAAATAATATGTTAATTTTAAAATTTACTTAAACTGAAATTATTCCGATCTAAAATTAATTTGATCCGTCCAATTAACAAATCAATATAATATATAAACTTCACTAACTTATCCTAGTCCATAAATTTAAGGATAATACGTTCTTAAATATATTTAAATTTACGTTTTATGAATGATATAATAATAATAATCATTTCAATTATATTAAGATTTAGTCGATAAATGTACTAAAATATTACCTCTTATAATTCGTAAATTATTTTTTCCTTGGAAAAAAGTATAAATCCCAGTCCAAGTTTCTTAAAGAGAGAAGACAATTTGTTCTTCCTAAATTCTTAACGAAAGGACACAAACCCTGTAATTTTCAAGAATGAAGGCTGAATGATCTCCCTGCCCAACAAATCTTGGAAAATGCAATCTTCCCTTCTTATTCTTAAAAGGTCAAAATTTACCTACCAAACTGAAATTCATAAACACCTTAGTAAAGGTGGAGATGAGCCTACCCCAACTTTTAAAATTCCCAAATTAATCATCATTAAGAATAACTCAATTTTCTTCATGAGTGCGTATTAAAAATCTTGTCTTAAATTACGATTTTAACATATATGAAGACAAGGCCCACATATGTGTATTGCCATTCAACCTATGCTCGTGTTAACATGTTTCTTTGACACATATCATACGAAAATCACTAACAAGTAATGTATTTTTTAAAATTATACGAAAATCACGTTTTGAAGAGTCTATCTTCCTAAGGTTTTAACATGTAAGTAAAAACATATTTAATTAACGTGTCCTTTTTATATTTAGGTGTCACATATGCAAAAACACACTCAATCATCCGTACCTTCACAAAATAAAATAGTATATTAATAAATAATATTTTGAAAAATTATACTCTTATTAGTTTATAAATAATTTAAAATCGATATATATATATATATATACAATAGTCACCAAATTCAGAATTTTTATAAGTAAAATATGAAATTCATAATTAAATCAAAAAATAACATGAGATGATAAAATAATACAAAAATACAAGTATGTCTAGATATATTAAGGTTTATTCAATACAAATCATGAACTTATAAACTTTATTCAAATATATTATGAAAATATAAATACCAAATTCAGTGATTGGTTATTTAACATTTATAGGAGATAAAGGAAAGATGTAACATAAAGCAAGTGGTTAGAGAGGTTAAGCCGCTATCTCACCCCATTTTGTTGGTCCACATCATAGATTGGTACATCCCTTCTGTCCCCTTCTTTTTTATTCATATCATTATAGACTAAAAAGTACTGGTCCACTTCTTAGTTTTAAAATATTGATTAAGAATATAAATAATCTCTCGATAATATAATATTATTTTATTAAAATTTTTAATTATTACATATTATAAAATGATTTATCGATTATAGAATGTTATTTTGTTGAATTCTTGACTATTAAAAGTTATAAAATGATCATCCGACTATTTATATGTTTCAAACTCGTCATTTTCTATTAAAAAAATTGACAGTTATCTGAGTTTGACATTAACATGTTGATTGAGATATAATAAAATCATATAGTATTAATGATGCTTACTGATTGCTTTCAAGCATTGACTCGATGACATAATGTTTCAAGTATATAAATGGTCTCTCGATAATATAATATTATTTTATTGAGTTTTTTTTAACTATTATACGTTATAAAATAATTTCTCAATTATATGTTAAGAAATAATTTCTCAATTATAGAACGTTATTTTGTTGAATTTTTTATTATTAAAAGTTATAAAAATAGTCACCAGATTATTTATATGTTTCAAACTCGTCATTTTTCATTAAAAAATTAACAACTATTTGAGTTAGACGTTAACATGTTATTGAGATATGATAAAATCATATAGTTTAATAATGCCTACTGACACTACTGTTGCTTTCAATCATCGGTTATATGACATAATGTTTCAAGTATTGGCTTGACGACATAATATAAATAAAGATTTGATCCAAAAAATACAACTTAAACAATTTTAAGATCATATTTTATCATATTCATTGAGCATATTAACGTCCAACTCAGGCGTCTATCAAAATTTTTAATAGAAAATGACGAGTTTTGAAACATATGAATAGTCGAGTGGCTATTTTATAACATTTAATAGTCGGAGACTCAACAAAACAATACCCTATAGTCTATGAACCATTTTATAACTTTTAATAGTCAATAATTTAACAAAGCAGCGCTCGAGAGTAACACACGTCATTTTTTATTACTATGAGATAATATAATGTAGTTTATGTTAAATACTTATAATTATTTAATAATAAACATTCATATATTCTTACATGTGTGGCCCTTAAACACATGACGTTGAAAAATAATAATAATTTCTTAATTACGAAATCATTTGATATGTGGCACATGTCATTTTTTTTAATTTGTGTTCCTTAAATGACCGAAGTGGGAATCAAGTTCAAGCCTTGGACTTCTTGTATATGCATATCTAGTGCCCAACCACTAAGCGATTTTGTTAGTTTTTTTACTTTTTTATTTAAACCAAATTTATATCTAAGTTATATTATGTCACCATCTTAAAATTATAATTGGAGTGATATGATAATAATAATTAATAATTTTAGTAATTTAATTATTATAATAAAAAAATTAAATGGTTTAGTTATAATTAAAAAAATAATTTATTTGTAACAATCGATTAAAATAAATCATATATTTACATATTTTTAAAATTTATAGTTTAAACCAATTACCGAATAAAAAACTAATTAAGACATTGATATACAAAAAGCAAAACTGAAATTTGCTTGCCTGGACTGAAATTTCGTATATCGTTTACTACCATATATAATTTATATATATATGTATATATTTATTGCAGTAGCTATCTGCTAACTTGTAAGATCAAAGCTGTCCCAATCAATTCCTGTAAAACCAAATTTTCTCGAGAAAATCTTCTTGCTTTCCTTAAAAACTTGACTCAATTAACTCCAAGCTTTTTTAATTTTTTTATTCCAATTTTTTAATTATTTTTTTGGCTGCTTTATGGTGAAACATTGCTGCCAAATTCGGATACGAAACAAGTAGAAGCAAAGATGGTTTACTTGGCTCTTTTATAGAAATAAAGTAAGTTGCAAAAGCTTGAACTTTTTGCTTTCTTTTTTGTTAAATGCTTTACTGGGTCTCACCCATAGTTCTGTAATAGTTCTGGATTCTGGGTTTTTGTTAAAGCTTGATGTTGATGAGAAAACAAATCCAATCTCCCATGAAAGGTTTCATATTTTGCTTCCTGTTTTGTACAGTTAGCTATTCTGATCTTCTATTGAAAATCAGATTTCAAATTAGTTTAAAGTTTTTTTTTTCGATAATGAAGGGGAATATACTAATCTTTTCATTGGATGGATTCTTTACTTTTCTGTTCTAGATATTATATTCCCAGAAAAATTATGCTTTTGACCGATGAATGAATATTCAAAGTTAAATTTAAAACATTTTTGTGCCAAAAACAATTGAAAAGTCAGTATTGCAATGTTGCAGAACTGTGTTAAATCTCTGTTTTTGCTCTACCACTCTTAATAATGTTTGGTGTTTTGTGTGTGCTTATGATAGGTTACATGTATGGACTTTGTGCTTGTAGATTTGAATTCTATCAGATTTGGAAGAAATTAGGTAAAGGATGGGATTTTAATTCTATATGGTCTTGTTTTGTGCCTTCTACATTTAGTTAGTTTTCTGTCGAAATTCGATATTTCTCTTTGGTCGAAATACGATTAAGTGGCTTTAACTTTGTGTTTATCAGGGAGTTGCCGTGAAATTTGTGGAGTTGCTGCTTTTAATTTCTTGTAGTTCGATTAATAGGTATGGTGGGATTAATTTACTGGAGCTATACTTCTTTATGTTTCATATTCCCACCCTTTTCGTTTTTCTTTTTATCTAAAAAATTTTCATTTTCTCTTTTGAATCCTTGTCAATCAGGGGTCTTGAGCATTGGAATTCTGTATTTGGCATGTCGCTTAGCGTTATGTCGTTTTCTCGTGTTCTTATATATCTTTCTGAATGTGTATGTTGTTCTTTGTGGTTGTAATTACAGAAATTGCTGTTTTGCAGGATACAGATTATGGCATTGACTGAAGGGTTGAAGAATTCCAATGCAAGTAGACTTTCGGAATTTGGTTTTTGGTTGTTTATACTGCTTTCAGCTCTACTGATTACTATAGCAGACGGGCTAAATTCCGAGGGCCAATTGCTGCTCGAGTTCAAGAACAGTTTTCGTGACGAGTACAACCATCTTTGGAGCTGGAAATCCTCCGATGAGACACCTTGCCAATGGATAGGTGTCAGTTGTTCTTCGTATCATAATCCAGTGGTTTCGTCTGTTGATTTGAGTTCAATGAACCTTTCCGGAACCCTGAGCCCGAGGATTGGTGGTTTGACCCATATGAGATATCTTGATCTGTCGTACAATAGGTTCAGTGGAAATATTCCCAAGGAGATCGGCAATTGTTCATCTCTTGTATATCTGTATTTAAACAATAATCATTTCAGTGGTCCGATTCCCGGTGAAGTTGGCAGGCTTTCTTATTTGACAAGTTTGAATACATGCAATAACGAAATCTCCGGTTCCCTTCCAGAGGAGTTTGGGAATTTGTCCTCCCTTGATGAGTTCGTTGCATATACAAATAACTTGACCGGGCCATTGCCTCGCTCTATCGGGAATCTGACGAAGTTGAGAATATTCCGAGCGGGGCAGAATGCATTTTCCGGTAGCATCCCTGCTGAAATAAGTGGATGTCAAAGCTTACAAATGCTTGGTCTTGCCCAAAATAGTATTGGAGGAGAGCTACCTACGGAACTTGGAATGCTCGGAAGCATGACTGATTTGATTTTATGGGAGAATCAGTTATCAGGGTCTATTCCGAAGGAGCTCGGAAACTGTACAAGCCTTCAGACACTTGCATTGTATTCGAATGGTCTTGTGGGGCAGATACCGGCGGAGATTGGGAATCTTAAGTTTCTGAAAAGGTTGTACCTTTACAGAAATGACTTTAATGGAAGCATTCCAAGAGAGATAGGGAATTTATCTCTTGCAACCGAAGTTGATTTCTCGGAGAATTATTTGTCCGGTGAGATCCCTACGGAGTTCGGGAAGATAAAGGGTCTACACTTATTGCACCTATTCGAGAATCAGCTTACCGGTGTCATACCAAATGAGCTTAGTAGCTTGAAGAACTTGACGAAGCTCGACCTTTCGATCAATTACCTCACAGGTCCCATTCCTTATGGTTTCCAATATTTGACTCAAATGAGTCAGTTGCAGCTTTTTGACAATTTTCTTACCGGTACCATTCCTCAGCTGCTTGGAGTATACAGCCCACTTTGGGTGGTTGATTTTTCAGACAACCATCTGACCGGAAGAATACCGCTTTATCTTTGTCAACGTTCTAACCTTATTTTATTAAACCTAGGAGCTAATAATCTGCATGGAGATATCCCAACTGGGATTAAGAACTGCAAGACATTAGTGCAACTTCGTCTGTTCGGAAACCGGCTCAATAGTACCTTTCCTTCTGAATTATGCAATTTGGTGAATCTTTCGGCTATCGAATTGGGCCAGAACAACTTAACTGGACCACTTCCTTCGGAGATCGGAAACTGTGGAAAGCTTCAAAGGCTTCACATTGCAGCTAATCAATTTAGTTCCGAGCTGCCTAAGGAAATAGGTAATTTGACTCAACTTGTGACTTTTAATGTCTCATCCAATTTGCTTTCTGGAAGGATTCCTCGGGAGATAGTTGACTGCAAAATGCTTCAACGACTCGATCTCAGCCATAACAGCTTTGAAGATACTTTACCGAATGAGCTCGGAATCCTTACTCAGCTCGAGATTCTGAAACTTTCAGAAAATAAGTTCTCCGGAAATATACCTGCAGCTTTGGGGAACCTCTCACATTTGACTGAGCTGCAGATGGGTGGCAACTTGTTTTCTGGCAAGATACCGCCAGAGTTGGGTTCTCTTTCAAGCTTGCAGATTGCAATGAATCTCAGCAATAACCACCTTACCGGAAATATACCACCGGAGCTCGGTAATCTTAACTTACTGGAATTTCTCCTGCTCAATAACAATAATTTGAGCGGTGTAATTCCGAGCACATTCGACAGCCTTTCGAGTTTATTGGGATGCAACTTCTCATACAATAATTTAACTGGAGCTTTACCTGCTATCCCTCTGTTTCAGAACATGCCTGCAAGTAGCTTTATTGAAAATAAAGGGCTTTGTGGTAGGCCTCTTCAAGATTGCAATGCCGATCCGTCTTCTCCTTCAACGCCACCCATGAATAACGATACACGGGGAAGAATGATAACGGTAATTTCGGGTGTTGTAGGTGGTATTTCTCTTGTTCTGATTGTAATTCTTATATACCAAATCAGACGTCCACCTGAAATTGTTGCATCGTCGCCAGAAAAAGAGATATCACCATCTCCGGTTTCAGATGTTTACTTCCATCCCAAGGAAGGGTTTACTTTTCAAGATCTAATCGAGGCGACAAACAACTTTGATGAGAGTTATATCATTGGAAGTGGAGCTTGTGGAACAGTTTATAAAGCTGTTATGAATTCCGGACAAACGATTGCTGTTAAAAGGCTCGCATCGAATGCCGAGGGGAATACCATCGAGGACAGTTTTCGGGCTGAGATTCTAACGCTGGGAAAGATTCGGCATCGGAATATCGTGAAGCTTTACGGTTTTTGTTATCACCAAGGTTCCAATCTGCTTCTTTACGAGTACATGGAAAAAGGTAGCTTGGGTGAAATGCTTCATGGTACCTCATGTAGCTTAGAATGGTCAACTAGGTTCATGATCGCCCTAGGAGCTGCCGAAGGTCTTTCTTATCTACATCATGACTGCAAACCGAAGATCGTTCACCGCGATATCAAGTCCAATAACATCTTGCTTGACGAAAAATTCGAAGCTCATGTCGGTGATTTTGGTTTGGCGAAAGTGATCGACATGCCCCAATCTAAGTCCATGTCGGCAATCGCAGGATCATACGGCTACATTGCCCCGGGTAAGTTCTTTGACCTTCGAGTATAAACAGGTCTCTATAAACAGTTGAGACCATATGTGGAGATGTTTTAAATTATTGACAATACCTGTGGTTTATGTCACAGAATATGCATACACTATGAAGGTAACCGAAAAATGTGACATCTATAGCTATGGGGTTGTTCTACTGGAGTTGCTAACGGGAAAGACTCCTGTACAGCCATTGGATCAAGGAGGCGATCTTAACACACGGGTGAGACATTACGTCCGCGACCACTCGTTTGATGCCGGGATACTCGACAACCGCTTAAACCTTGACGATAAAAGCGTTGTCGATCACATGATTACCGTCTTGAAAATTGCTTTAAGATGCACTAGCCTGTCTCCTGTCGATAGGCCATCTATGCGCGAAGTCGTGGTGATGCTTTCGGAATCCAGGGGGCACGAAGACAACTCCACGGTGTCTCCTTCGCATGAATGTGAGAAATCCGATGACTGAGATGGTTTTTTTGGCTACAGATCTTCCTTATTATTTTCCCATGTACATATTTCCACTAAGAAAGCATCATATTGAGACTTAGTTCATTTATTCAGTCAAATACAATATACAATATAGTAACACCATTGTGCATATATGAATCATTGGCTCATTCTAAACATTCATTATTTAATTTACCTTTTTTTTAAAACAATCTTTTATTTTCGGAACTCGAACTCAACAAAGATCTAACGTTGCAACAGGTAGCAGTGACATGCACTGGTGTTGTGTTCAACAACAGCACCGTTTTTAAGGGGAAAAAGAGTTGAGATAAACGATATCAACAACTGAAAGCAACACCACAGACAGGACCTAAACTAGATGCCTGAAAATCAAGGAAACAGAAAGTAATGAAATTTAGACATTACACTTAAAACATTCTTCTAAGCAAGCATGCAAATTATTAAGGAGATGGCTTAATGCTACTGCTCGTTGAACCACCATGTCCATGTCCATCTACACCTGCTGCTTTACTTAAACCACCTATTCCTGGACAACCACCGCCTGTTCCAGGACAACCACCAGCACCTAGACCCCCAACTCCACCTCCAGTTCCACCGCCTAAACCACCTAGACCCCCAACTCCTCCGCCAGTTCCGCTTCCTAAACCGCCAACCCCGCCATCAGTTCCACCACCTAAACCACCAACCCCGCCTAAACCACCTAAACCACCAACTCCGCCGCCCAAACCGCCTAATCCGCCTATGCATTTGTAACCACCTATTCCAACTGCACCACCAACGCCACCAACTTTTCCAATCCCACCGAGACCCCCGGCCACCCCAGCAGCGCCCCCCATCCCAGCAAACCCACCAACTCCACCGTAAACAACATTCTTCTTGTCATCAACGCCATTACCCTTGGCCGAATCTTCCGTGTGTGCATTGGCTTGCATTGCATGTTCCTTCGGCACATTACGTGCATGACATGCATGCACAGTTAGCAAAACAAGAGCAAAAGACAAAGCACAAAAACAACCCATCTCTATCTGGTCTCTCTCTCCCTGTCTTTTCTTACTTGAGTTTAGCTGGCAAGCTTTGCATGGAGTTTGCTTCACATATATAGCGAGTCGATAAACAAAAGAAATAATGGGGGACAGTTGAGGGTAATAATGGCGGCATGTAGTAAATGAAAACGAAGGAGACATTGGTGTCACGATCTCGAGAAAGGAAATTTTATTGAACTTGACACCACAACAGAGAGGTAGGTTAAAAAGAAGAGCAAACTTTAAGGTAGTCTTATGTTGTGTCATCCAATTGCTGCCAAATTCCTTTGTGTTGCGACCAGTGTATACCTCTAATGAATTCTTCGTTTGGTGCAAGGACATTAATCTAAGTACCTCTTAAAAATATAAAGTTTTTTTTTAGCCTTTTTTAAGTTATAAAGTTTTTATTTAATCCAATGATAAATTTATATTTTTATTTTAACATTCTATTTTATTTATTTGTATTATACAATAATGATAAGTATAATGATCACATAATAAAAAGCAGATACTAAGATTCTACGTAAAAAATTATACGAAAACAATCATAAAAAAATAATGAATTTTTTTATTAATATAAAAAATACAAAAAAAAAATTGCGACTGCGCGATTTATCCCTAATTGCATAAATCTAATTATATACAAATTTAATAGAATCACATCTCAAATATTGAAATGTGAATTATATTTCGAAGCTGTAAATTTAATCAAAGGAGATTTGAATCATATAATTTTAATAATCTTGGTTTTTCAATTCTGTCATCGGTTAGATCACAGCTTGTCACTGTTATATATGTGAGTTAGGAAACTATGAGATGGTAATAGTTGTTTCACTTGGTATTTTAACTGTCAGCAAGTGGTCCAAACCTACAACTTTGTCCCCTTTTTAACTCCGTAAGAATTAACAAAGCTTTACAGTATCTTTATTATCACTGAGATGAAAATGAATACAGTTGGAGAGGAAAGCTGGAATTATTGCTTTTGTTTTTCAAGACAATTCTAGCATCAGAAGGATTTAAGTTTATGCGTGCATTTGAATGTCACTGAAATTTTCAATATTTCTCGTTACATCTGAGTTTTGAAATATATATATATATATATATATATATATATGGGCATGATCCAATTATATAGTGACGGAAAAAAAATAAAGAGTTAATCTAACGATCCTAAAAATGTATAAAACTAAAAGTTTTACACTAAGTGTAAGTGGCTCGTGACCCCTCTCTCTCTATATATATGGATAGGATCCTATTATATAATGTAAAACTCTTTTAGTTTTACACATATTTAAGATCGTTGGATGAGTGAAAATGAATAACTGAGATTGACAGCAGGAAATGAGAATATATTCACTTGAAAAAAATAAAAAGTCAATCTCAGCCATTTATTTCCACTCATCTAACGGTCTTAAATTTGTATATAACTAAAGAGCTTTACATTTGTGAGTGGATCATAACCCATATATATATATATATGAGCATATGTCGAGTAAGATCGAGTTTTGGATGTCCCAACCCCAACTCGAGAATCTCATACTTTCATATATGATATATGACTTGATTTGATTTTAAAAGTGCCTCACTACCCCGAATTTGACCTAATACTCATAAATAAATATATGTTATGATCTTATCTGATCCAACATCGACCTTCAAAACTCTAATCAAAAGTAAAATTATAAAATATATGTAAAAAAGAAAACTTAAAAATAAAAAAATTAATAAAATTAATAAAATTAATAAAATGCCCAAAAATAGAGAATAGCTGAGAGAAAATAAAACATACATATATTTTCGATATGATGATTTTTTATGATTAAAAATTGATTTTAATGATCTTAATGGTAAATAAACTCTATCCGATGTGAAAAATATATAATTCTATTTAAATTTGATTAAACAATGAAGGATAAGATCAAAAATAAAGAAAATGAATTGTTTTAACTTAGATTCATACACATCAAAATATTTTCTTATGAAACACACATCATGTTCAAAATTAAAAGGCTTAAAAGAAATTATTAAAAAGTTTTGAAATTAAACAGCAACCGACAACGATAATTGTTGCCACTGATTATGATAATTCTGATTTAAATTTTTTAGAGTAGATAGATAAAGAGAATATGTAAAAAGAGAACGAGTAAAAATGGTAAATTGAGAATAAAATTTTAAATATATATATATAGAGAGAGAGAAAACTATTTTCAATCGAGTCAAATATTTTTATCTTAAATCTTATTCTAATTTAAACTTAATTATCATTGTCTTAAAATCCGACATACCATTGTCTTAAATCCGACCCACTCAAACCAGAACTCAATTTTTAAAAGACAAAACTCGATCATATAAATTGGATTAAGTCAAAACTCAAAACCTATAACGTCCAAGTCCCATATCCATCCTAGTTAATACCGCTACTCATTTTCTTGTGCAACAGTTAAAAGGTATGCTTGTTCGGTTCTTCATTGTTTAAGCCCCTCCACGGGCGCTACAATAAATTGTTCATTAAGATAATTCCAGTTCTGCTGAGAAGGGTTTCACGTATATCTCAATTTCAACTTTATTACTTGTAATAAAAGAAAAACCCGACTCCCTGTCGTCAAGGATCGCTACGATAAGAATAGTATTCCGTCACGATGCATTAGAACTCGCACTTATTCTACGGAAACAAGACTACAACGTAAACATAATTCTAGATCAGAAACATGAACTCCGTCATTATCACACAAGTTTCTCACTTAATGTGCTTGGTGAACCAATTCAGCATATCTTGATGAGCTTCGTCGGCCCGCGACACCGCTGCCGGATCACTGACATTGTATCGGAGAGTCCATCCATGGGAACATTTAGGAAACATCTTCACAAATCTATCCACCTGCAAGGGGAAGACAATGTTTTGTAACAAAGAAAAAGGGAGTACATGTTCCATAGACAACATAATTCGTCATTCAGGAAAGAGCTGTTTCGCTTTGGATACAAAATATCCGTTCTGAAAATGTAGATTGTAAGGTGAAGAGTCTAATTATGGAATATAAGTCATCATAAAATCAAAAGTTGATATAGTGGGATGAGACGCTTGAATCCCTTAAGCAAGATTTTGTATTCGAATATTGATGTCATGAATGGAAAAACAAAAGATTAGCATTATGCGAGTTTTAACACCGTCTCAATAGAAGCCTGGCAAAAATAAGAATAGGATAGGCAACCTAATGGTGCAAACAAGAATCTCATCGATTAACAAAAATATGGTACGAAACAACACACCTTATTCAATTGTAAGATCTCATCGAACTGTTTTAAAAGTTCAGGAGGGTATTTCTTGTCTAGTTCAGCTGACAATATTGCAAGGGGCACCTTCACACCTGCGAAAATTCACACAATCAAATGCAACTTTTTACTATACAAGTTCATATGTATAATCACAGAAAGGAAGAAAAAGTGCATTTAGCTTGATGTGTTCGATTTTCAGTGAAACATTGTCCTAGAACCTAAAAAGCTACAAAGATCACTCATCCACGTTAGCAATTGCAAAGTCAAACAAATCATAGCTGATATATATAAACCCTGAATCTTACCCTTGATATCATCCACAGTCACAAATGAAGGATGTAAGATCACAGCTGCTTGGACATCGGCAATCTTTGCTAGTTCAATCACAGCTTTAGCTGAGGTAATCAAAAGACTCGGTATTAGACTTCTAGTAATAAACTGGTTGCAGAACTAAATGAAAAAGATGATATCTGCTATGAAGACTCACCACCCCAACAGAATCCAGCAGCTCCAATTTTCGAAACACCTTTACTTTTCAAAGCTTGAACCATTAGTTTTGCATCCTTAAAGCCTTTTTCCTAAACAAGCAATTAGATGCATAAAGACATAGAACTTCAAAAGTGATGCATCATTCAGTATTGGATACTTTTGTAGGTAAAAAAGGCCACTAACCGGTGAATGATCCTTTAGCCAAGCATCTTTAGGTCTATCAGTTCTATTAGGATTAAAGGGTTCTCCATAAAAGAAGTCAGGAACCACCGCATAGAATCCAGCTGCTGCGACCTTGTCTGCGATTTTTCTATTCAATCAAAAGGAACTCAAATTAGGTCCCAGAAGCTGGTACAGTTCAACTCAAGATGCTAGATAGAACAAACCATGTGAGTAAATTGGCTTCACACAACCATCCTATAACAGACTAACCCATTATATCACAATCTCGAACAAATAATTCAACTATGAAAAAAAACAGTTAGAGCCAGGCATGCCAAGTATTAATTAGCTAGATTGTAATTGTCAGAATCTGACTTCCATTTTCAAAATGTTGCAATCATATATTACTTTTGTGTTTTACGCCAAGAATAATAGGAGAAAACATCTAGATATAAAAATGGTCAGACCATAAAGTTATTGAAAAAAAAGCAACATAAATCGTATATTTTCCATGGAGTATGGCCACATTGATGGACTATGAAGCACGAACACTCCATGCAGGGGTGCCTACCAGTGTAGAACAGACGTCCAACACAATGGAACATGTATCGAACATTCCAGAACTCATAGAAAACAAAATAAAATAAATTTAACAAGTGAGAAACATGGCCAAAACACGTTTGGATATGCTTTGACAAGATTGACACGCTAGGGAAAACTAAAGTAAAACATTGGCAAAATTCAGTTTCACTGGCAGAATCACTCTTACCTCAAATTTGGAGTCTCATATCCTACAGAGACAAGAGAAGAACAGTGAAATTAGCAGATGATCAAAACGATGGTGATGATTAATATGATCCTGATGGCAACCGCTATTAATACTTCATGGAACAGAGATAAGCAGTTGCAGAAACAAGGATCAATTGAAGTAAATGTATGGTAAACAAAGTACAAAACCAAGATATGATATGTAGAAAAACAGAGTGCAAAGTGCAAACAAATAAAAAATAATGAAGAAAAAGAAGTGCAAAAAATGGGTGAAAAGTAAAGAAACTTCTTTCCCCCCTCCCTCCTTTCCATATATATATATATATATAACCAACCCTTGAAGCTATTCAATTCCTAAACAGACTGTTCCTCATCAATTTGACACAAAACCCAAACAGAAAATAACACAAAAACTCACATTAAAGACTGAAGCAGATAGATAAACAAAAGAAATGTGAAGAACTTATGGATAAATACCGTAAACATCAGATGCAAGAAGAACAGCAAGCTTGGACTCAAGAGAGCCAGAGACATAAGTGTTGAAGTCAGCAAGTTTCTCGACATGACCAGCTCCACTTGCAGGGTCTAATGTTGGTGGGTTTGAAACACAATGAGGACTTAACGCCATCTTCCTCCCTCCATCTATCTAAACAAATAGAAACAGAGTATAAAAAATGAGCGAAGGTCTAATTTTTCTTCAATTCCTGTACTCTTGAAAATTTTCAAATTTAGTCCATATGCTTTTAATTCCAATAATTTTATCACTTGACTTGTATAATTTAACAATCAAAGTCCAATTGATAATATTATTAATTAACATTCATTAAATTTGAAATGCATTGTCAATTGGACTTTAATTTTTAAATCAGACCTTTGAATATTAGAATGTCACGTATTCAAATTTAATGATAGCATGTTAACAATGTTATCAGTAAAATTTCAATTTTTTAATCAGATAAACAAACAAGCGAGCATCCATTTATAAACCTTCATTGAGGAGGATGAATAATGGCTCCTACAGTATTAATCCAGATTCCGATAATGCATGGATCCATAGTTAAGACGAATTTCACAATTCAACTTGTTATATTCACTGTCTCAAGATTCGAAGCCCAAGTCTAAAAAATATTCAAAGAGACTTTAGCTGCATCTGCTACACACTGGTACTCAGTGGATCCCACGTTATTGATTGACAGTAATTCTAAGGTCAGACTGTCATTCTTCTACTTTTACCTAAACTTTGATTCTATCGTACATTTTAGTCCCATTTACCTATGATTCTATTTAAAAACAAACAAACAATATCAGAGAGACTACGGAACCAAAGCCAAATCATCAAATAAAACAAGGCAAATCAATGGGGAAAAAACACAAAGAAATGAAAAGAAAAGCAAATAAAAGAGCAATCGAAATGCGACAGACCTCGGGGACGACGCAGTGGGCGCCGTGTATCAGCAAAAGGAAGAGCAACGCCGCCGAGAACATCGTCGCGATTGATTTTTGTTTTCAATAGTTATCGATCCAAATCTAACAAATTATTGCCGAACAGTCTATATTTAAAGAGAGGGGATGAGATATGGAAAAGGACAAAAAGAGAGCCGTCGTCGGTGAGTGCTATAAGGAGAAGTCAACTTTTCCTCTCGTTAATTTTTCCCATTCTTTTTGGATTTTGTTAATTTTTAAACTTTTAATTTTATAATATAAAATACATTTTATATACTTTAAAATATTTACTCACATGGTGTAATCTAACTAATTAATGATATAATCTGATTAATTAATAATATAACTTTTATGTCACTATTGTCACTCATAATTCCATAGAGGTTTAATTGGTAGTTAAAATATGAGAAAATGAATTAGTTTAATTAGTATGTAATTAGTACAATATATAGGGGGTGTGAAATTTAATAATCTAATATTATTTAAAAATAAATTGAGTGAAAAAAATGATTTGATTTAAAGATTATAAAGAATAAACATTTCGAGTTAATCAAATCATATTATTTTGCACTCTCATTTGAGTCAAAATAGATTTTATAATTTAAATCAATTTAAAATTTTATTATAATAGAATTTATTAAGTGATCTCAATGATTAAAGAGAATAGAACAGATATATGTATGTTATCAATAACTAAGAAATATTCTAAACAGATATATCTTAGACTATTTCAAAAATAATAATAAATTGACATAAATAACTCTAGAGCCCATATCAATTGTGAAAATATGTAAACTAATCTTTCTGAAAAAAAAATTATTTTCAATTGAAAATTTAGATTTTTTGAAGAAAAAAAAGTGTTGAATTAAGTATCGTCATGTTATAACATCTTATATTAGTCTTATTTTTTAAATAGATTTGATTCTAAAAGTGAGGCATAGACGCAGAGTACGGCTACGTGCTATAGTGCGCCCGTGGGGACGAGGTTTATGAGGGAACAGCGGAGAGAGGATTGTATTTTTCTACAAGTTGCTAGAAGAAGGCGATGAACAGGGTACTTTGGATTTCGGTGTTTAAGTTTACATTATTTGACATGATCTGTTCGATGGGGACAAAAATCTATCACATGATTTGACGACGAACCAATGAATCCAAATAAATAATTTATATAATATGAATAGCTCATGATTGATGATGTCAAATAATTTGGAGGGTATGACTATTAAGTCATGCCATCGGCTCCATAATTGCACCACCAATATTTTATGTCATGATCAAATTATGCACTATACGTAAGCAATGACTAATGTGTAAGGTAATAGATTTTAATCTGATTTGATTTTATATTTTTGTTATTTTTTCATATAAAATTAAGTTCAAAACGTATAACTAAATTATAACATCAAGATATTACTTCATGTACCTTTTAAAGTGATATTTTATTTTTTCATGTGCTGCTGATAGGGGAGTTTGGTACTAGGCCCATATGTCGTTTGGCACTAGGCCTATATGTCGAACCACATAACAGAAATTTCAATGCATTGGCTACATGGTATAGCATAGACACCAAATCTATTCAAGCTTTTCTAAAGTAAGGCACAATGCATTAAAATTCATTCTTATTCTACGGAATTTTAGACTATACGCATTAACTCGGTCATGATCGGATAATTTTTCCTCACTCGACGTATCTGGTGAACCGGTCCATCCATGAACACATTTAGGAAATATCTTCACAAAACTATCGATCTCGCTCCCTTTTAAGATCTCTTCAAACTGTTTTACAAGTTCTGGTGGGGACAAATGGTCAACCTCAGCTCCCAATATCGCAATCGGCACCTTCACACCTGCAAAAGTAATTTGCATATATAAATAATAAAATGCTTTGCAAAATGGTCGGGTAACAATAGCAAGACCTCCCGAAAATGGAGTTCATTTAATAAACTGTGCTAGAAATGCTAAAGAATTCAATTCCTACATGGGAAAGGAAAAGAAAATGACGATATATACTATCACTTTTTTCCTTCTTTATTGAGCGTTTGTGACTCGGGGTTAGTGGTGAATATGTGTTTTCATCCTTAATTTATAGCAGAAATTTTGAACTCATTAAGTGACATCACTTATAAATGAAATCCGAGTTTAAGTAGATATAAGTGCAAAAATGAAGAACTCTTGTATTTATTGCCTGTATATGTGTTCATTTTACATCAATCTAAAACATAATTATCGAAAAGATTTTTTTTCTTTCGTTCTCTATTTTTCTCAAAGATCACCTGAAAAGAGTAATACCGTCGCATCACTTTAGATATTGAGTGTATAAAATTCTTAATGGTTATGTTAATCTTAAGAGACAATGTTCATTTCGAGTATTACACCAGTCAAAATGATTTTACTTCTAAAATAGTGATTCTTTCACTATCAAACTTTAATTTATTTTCTGTGAATACTAACATTTCATTTTGGGATAGTACCATTACCAATGAACCCTAATGCAAAAACATAAACAGAATATGCACAGAGAGACAGTCCAAACCAGTTTCTGATCATGTAAAAAAAGTTTACCCCTGATATCATCCACGGTCACAGCTGTGGGATGTAACAGTACGGCTGCTTGGATAAGGGCAACCTTCTACAGTTCAACCACAACTTTAGCTGAGGTAATCAAAAGACTTAATATCAGGGATGAAGATCGAGTCAAAGTCAAATTAAATAAAAATTAAAATACGTTGTTTTTTGACTTTTCAACGTGCTCGTATCAACATAGTCAAATATCTGCTATGAAACCACTTAAAATATGGAGCAAAAAATGAAAACTCACCACCCCAACAGAACCCAGCTGCTCTGATAGATGAAATCCCTTTACTTCTCAAAGCAGCAATTATTAGCTTTGCATCCTCGAAACCCTTAGCCTAAACAAGCAATTAAATGCATGCATGAGAGCTTAAAACTTCAAAACAGATGCATCATTTCAGCATTGGGTACTTTTGTAGGTTAAAAAGAAAGGGCACTAACCGGTGGATGATCCTTTAGCCAAGCAGGTAAAGGTCTATCAGGGTTATCACTGATAAAGGGTTCTCCATAAAAGAAGTCAGGAACCACCACATAGAACCCGGCTGCTGCAACCTTGTCTGCAAGCTTTCTACATACAATCAAATGCAACTGAAATTAGAGGTACGAATTAAATAATATGCTAGCTGAAGACAAGCAAGAACGGAATGAAATACGGGCAGGTTTCTCTTGCTGCAGCAATGAATAGAGTGAAACTCTCAGCCGCCCTAGCTGCTTCTTTAGTATGGTTATCCGGTGGCCATGGTCTGGTTCATTCATTGATAAAGGAAACTCTTCCCTCTTGGTTTATATCTGTGCATAGGTCCGACCAAGAGCAAGGATCAGGGCTTGTGGCAATGCTTGGGGGATACGCACTCGCATATTTCACGGTGCTTTGTGGTGCTTTTGCTTGGGGAGTCGATTCTTCTTCATCAGCATCAAGGCGGCGACCTAAAATCCTCGGGTCACACATGGAGTTCCTCGCAAGTGCACTTGACTGAAAGATATTGCTCGGTAGCGATGGAGCCACGTGGCATGCCTATGTGTCGGGTTTCGTGAGCCTAATTGTCGGTTGCACCCCGAATTGGGTCCTAGATGTGGATGTAGATGTGCTAAGCAGGTCAAGTAAGGGGCTGAGACAATGGGATGAAGAGGAGCTTGCTTTGGCCTTGCTTGGCATTGGGGGGGTTGGAACAATGGGTGCTGCTGCTGAACTCATAATTGAACACTCTGACTCCTAACCTTATCCCCCACTTTTGAACACTAGTATTTCATTAACACACGATAGTTGGTTTTGTAATGAAAGCCTGATCGTTTTTTTTCCAATATAAGGGAGGGCGTAGTTCGAATTAGGGGAATGGATTGCAGATGTTGGGATTCAAATCTAAGTCTTGTCGAATGTTCCACTTTTAAGTTTAGTTGCATAAATGAATCAAGTTCTGATTTTTTGTTGTTGTTCCAAACCGATGGGAGCAAAATAACGATTTTGTCTTTATACATTCATTATGCTGATTTTATATGCAGGATACAGCAAACAAACCTGGCTTCACTATCTACAACCATGGGTTTCCAACAAAAGTAAAGGAAGAACATTGATAGTTCCAAGAGATGAGTAGCTTTATATACCTATTTACTCAACTATTCAGATGCTAATGGCTTTTTGAATTGCTAGGCATGCTGCTGAGACGAAAACTACTAGAACTCGCGGTCAGGGAGAATCAAAGGTGCCACGAGGGTCCAAACATAGAGTCCAGCAGTGACCCACTCGGTGCAGATTCGAACCCAGACTGATGTCCAGCCAACGTCTATGAGATCCGAGCTCTCGGATGAGCTGGTCCATCCGGAAAGAAGCATGGCAGAGTACATGCTTGCCAAGGCAAATATCAGGTGGAAGAATGAATACGAATAGCTAACCGGTGGAGCTTCCTTCTCCTTCTCCTTCTCCTTCCCTTCTTCCACGTCGTCCCCTTCTAAAAGTGGTTTTGCTGTACCTGAACCACAAGGCACAAGGTTTTAATCACTTGGTAAGCCAAAAGAAAACATCAGATCTCTTAACTAAAGTGGTTTCTAACTTTCCAAATGAATGAAAGCTATTCTCCCAACTAGAAAGAACACTAATTCTGAGGACATTTTAAGGGGGTTTTGAAATGCAGAAGCTTCTCAAACGGCAGTCAATTTTTTTTGGAACAAAAGTGGGGCCTCATTAAAAACCCCCTTTGTAATTGAATATTAATCAATGATTATACATCGACCAGCATAAGGAGGAAAAGATATACATTTCCTTCAGAGTGTATCATCGAGAGGCTGCAGGGACATTGTTTAATTCATTTCCAAAAGGGGGGAATCTAGCCTCATTCATCATCTACAATGGGCAATGAAAATATCCCTTTCCAGACTACATAGCAGTTCAGCCTTATCCTCCCCTCTACTTTTGCGTATCATAAATTTCATCCAAGCCTCCAAGAAGTAGAAAAAATATAATGGTTAATAGAAGTGAATCCTGTAACAAAAATATAATCCTCTACTATAAACATGTTCAATTTTTGTGGTTTCTGAGAACTTAATAAAGTGATAAAATTTGCATTATATGACTACCTGCTCTTGGGGAAGATGGTGGTGATAAAAATGTTGTCGAGGATCCAGCACGGAGAGCAGAATAGATAACTGAGAGAACTGTTGTGAGCATCCCAAGAATAAGAGTACTTGTAGAAACTGCTGAGGATTTATAATGGAGACCATTGCATACATAATCTCTAGGTTCACTGGAGAGACCCGTGTAGCACACATAAGCACAGTAAACTGATATCACAGAAGCAGGCAAAAGGCTGCCATTCACCTGTGTAAGATTTATAATTTCAATTACATTCAGTAGCAAAAATCCAAAATATTTTCATTAAACCAATACCACGAGATACTACAAGCCTGCAAAAACCCAAGGTTAGACTTAACACATTGTTTCATGTCTTGCATGCAGATGCAATTTACCAAGGAACATGCCATGTGCTTTCCTATTTGCGGTGTACATTGCCTATGGAGTATTGGAATGCACACAATGAACGGGCATTGAGAGTCGAGATATCTGGGTCGTGTTAGTTTTATCAAGAAAATTAGAGCTCCTAGTGAATATATTATACAGCTTCAAACACTAGGTAAACTAGCAGATGGCCTAAGGTGCTAACCAGATATATTGTCCAATTTTTGTGCCATTTAACAGTAACTCCTTAAACGACTTGAAAAACATATATATTTTGATAAGAAGTGGAGACCTCGTTAAAAAAACCCCTTCATGATTAAAGGCACACCAATAGGTGCTCCTTAATCAGCTGAAGGAGGAAAAGAGTATCTCAAAAATATATTGATAACAGAAAAGTAACATAATGTTAAAAAACAGCCAAACCCCCTTACAAAGAACAACCCGAAACACTCAAACAAACATCCTAAACAAAACAATAAAACTAACCAATACCAGCCTTAGTTAAGCTATCAGCCTCAATATTAGTTGTTCTATCAACCCATCTGATAACACCCTCCATTTCTCTTAACGTAGCAGCAATATCCTTCACTAAATCTACATAAACAACAGGACATCTATCTAAATTCTTAACCCAATCCACTGCTAGTTTACTATCAGTTTCAACAATCCAACGATTCTTAAACCGCTGAAGAAGAGAATCAAAGAAAATTAAACCCTCCTTAATGGCTTTAAGCTCCATCAAAGTAGGAGGACCTGGTCCAGAAGCCTCTTGGAAAGAACACATCATCGCACCAACCCCATCTCTTAATAAACCACCTATTCCACTTTTTCGCCAATCTCCACTCACAGCTGCATCCACAGTCAATTTTAGATAACCCTTTGGAGGAGGAACCTAAGGCACAATATTAAGAATCGAATTTCTGGAAGAAGAGCAGAAATCTCCAATAGAGGGATCAGTAATGAGAGAGTCCTAAGAAATAGATACATCCTTGAACTTAGCTAAGAACCAAGAAGCTAGCCTAAATCTAGCCATAAAAAATAGATCAATCTGATCTAACAACCCCCCTTCAAACACAATTGCATTTCTGAATTTCCAAATAGTCCAAAGAACAACTCCTGGAATAAAGGACCAAATAGAAGAATAAGGCACCAAATCATCCCAAGCTAGTAAAAAACTTTGAGCATTATCATGTAGAACCGAACTAACTTTCCAAAAATTCAGAAACTTATTCCATAGGGACCACGCCACAGAGCAGGAGAAAAATAAATGAGAGGCAGATTCGATCTCTTTTACAAAAAGTACATGAAATGTCTACAATCCCCGAAACCCCTCGCTTTTGTAATTCAAACTTTACTGCCAATTCCAAAAATAGAATAAAGGACATATATATATATATATATATATTTGGCTTATGCAACTCAATCTTTGCAGCAGGTCAGTTGATGATCAAAAAGAAACAAATAGAAAACAAGTGTATCCTTACCGCAGGATGCAGAGCTATAATTCCAAAAGAAAATGCCAGAACCATTGTCATGACAATAAAGAAGACGTTCAGGCCGCAGTCATGACCAGAAGGGTTGAACCATATAAACAAAATGCCAGAGAATACAAATGCTGAGAGATAGCAACAAACTGATACAACAAGTAAAGCAATATACCTGAAGGAACAAAATTTAACGGTTAAAACAATAGGAGAAACAATGGAGAGCATTAATGAACTAACGGAATTGAACCAACCATTTCTGTTCATCTTTTTCAACCCAGGCATCATTCCACGTGTGTGTAAAGTCAAGTAAAATAATCACTTGAACCAACAAAAACAGACCAGCACCAAATTTTGATAAAGTTCCTGAAAGTAGAGCAAAATTTGCAATATTAGTTGCATATTTTTAAACATAGCCCCTTTCATTCAGAAGCTGGGAATTTACTTAAGAACTTGCACCTCTTGATAAATCCTATTGAATTAATTTTTTGGTGATTAACTATGCCTTTTAAAAAACACATATTCTGGATAATTACTTCATAGACTACTTTATCATACTGACAATTCATGTAACATCGAAAAGAAGAATTGCCTTTCACTTATCTTGCTATGTTAATCAGATTTGATCTTATAAAAAATAATCCTATGCAAGCCTGAGAAACAGTTAGCATGAAAACCTAGATGTTCTTTCAAGTAGCTCCATAGAGCAAAAGTTTAAAACAAGATTGTTGCATGTATTAAACAGGTCCAACGCAATCCAGTGCATGAGGCTCCCAAATTGTTGGGTCTCGGAAGGGTCAGCTATACTTGCCTGGCAGAATGCTGTTTAATGTATGAAAATAGGGAACAAAGTCCGTTTTTAAAAAAGTGTTTCCATACCCATGTGAACTTACAGTCCTCCAGATTAGAGAAGATACTAATGATTGAGCTTCGAGCAAAACTAACCATAGACTGTGATGATAACATTGGGAAGGAAGAACATTAGGATCACAAGCAAAATCCAGATCACCATCTTTGCAGTCCATCCACCATGATGCCATGAATCACGTCTGTCATTTTGGTCCTTCACACCAATCATTATTAGAGCTAGTATGACAAAAAACAGGAAATTTCCCAAGCTGACACGAAGCACTGCCTGTTCTTGATACCATGCTTTTGGGTGAGTAGAACTGTTTATCCCTGCCAAGAAAACATCAGAATACTTGTGATTAGACCTTCCTAACCAGCCATCCCCTAGCTTGAAGGAGAATTAATGAAAGTATTGATTGTACAACACAAGACACCAGAAGTAGTTATGTACCAGAAAATTGCGACCAGGAGAAGTGCATTGATTTGTTGTGATCTTTTGGAGCAATGAAGTAATTATTGAATGTACCAAAAAAATATGTGTTCAAGAGAATGCTTAGCCAATGTACAGAATACAAATAATAAAGCACCCATTTTATTCTGCCATCATATAACACACATATCCTTAACACTTTGGGAAACAGTCATGTTTTACATTGGCTTAGATTGGTAATAGCATAATGTTGATGGTAACATTAGGGTGATGATGGCTGTATGCGGTTCACCCCTTTTGATTTGAGCATAGAGCGCAACTGGTGGTTTTGGGGAAGAGTGATGAGCTAAGGATGATGATTAGAATCGGGTCGAGGGAGAGATAGTCCCCTTTCTCAGTCTTGTATGAGGCTTATTGGTGTAGGAAGTAGGATCATGATGATTTCTCGTAGATTGGTAAAGCGAATGTATATAACCTTGTGACAGTAGATTTTGTTATGACGGATCATTAGGGTCTGCCAAAGGTTATGTTAGTAGAAAATAATCGGCTGGAGGATGTGAATTTCCTAAGACTATAGTTAAGGGAGGAATTCTTCCGAAGATTTATTATTCCGGAGACTTTGATCATCGGAGGAGTAACAGTAAAAGTGTGATTTGCGAGAGATAGGAGGTGATACAATCCATACCCTTTAAACATGGGTAAAAAGTCAAATGCCAAACAGGACGAAAAAATATTATAATCTTTACACCATAATTCTCAAGAACTTAGAAGTTAAGGTTCCAATATCAGCTTTTACAACCCTATAAATTAAACCCATGTTTATTTTCAATAATTAAGGCCATACCAAATCCTAAATCCCAAAAGGAAGTTAAATAAATTAAAAAATACACATAGGGTAAATCTAGAGGGAAGAAGAAAGGGAAAATTACATGGCAACTTCTCCAAAAGAGGTGCACCGACTTCTCGAAGAATCCATGAAACGATGAGGGAAAGCCCGAAGAGGCCACAATAAGCAAGCCTAGCTGATTTCTTTGAGATCCCGGAGGCCACCGTTGAGCAAAGGCCGCATGTGGCTGCAGCACAGCAAGAAGCCAAACACGACATCTCTATAACTCTCCTTCAAGCTAAGAATCCAAAATCTAGAGAAATTCGATTAATTTATTAGGAAATTAAAAGCTATATATATATATATATATATATATGATAAAAACGGGAAGAAATTATTGACTGGTAGCTGGAGACGAGGGAGGAGAGACGAGCAGTTGAGATTTCTGTATTAGGAAATTAAAAGCTATATATATATGATAAAAACGGGAAGAAATTATCGACTGGTAGCTGGAGACGAGAGGCGAGCAGTTGAGATTTCTGTTTTTTCTTACTTCAAAAAGACAAATTAATTAAATTTAGTATAAATTATTTGATAATTACCTTAATTATTAGAGTAAAGTACTTATTTGATCATCTAACCTATTACTAGTTTCTATTTCAGTCAATTATTTTTTTTTAAATCATACATAACATTATATTTTAATTTTGTTTTGGTCACCAACCGTTAAAAAATTAACGGTGATATTGACGTGTTATCATAAGGTAATGTCATATCAATATTAAAAAATGTTTTTAAAAATTATCACATCAATATCACTATTAATTTTTTAACAGAAAATGATTAAAACATGATCAAAATATAACGTTATGGATTATTTTTTAAAAAAAATAATAGTTGAGTTACTAAAACAGAATCTAAGTTGGTCACCCATCTATTCTCACATTTTTATTTGGTCACTCGCCTATTTTCTTTTTAAAATCATACCTAAAATATGTTTTGTTTTTATTTTGGTCATTTATCGGTAATTTTTTTAACAACGATGCTAATATGATATTTTTTAATTATTTTTTTTAAATTTTACATCACTTTTCTTTTTCATAGTTAGTAATCTGACGATTTTTTAATTAATTTTATTCAACTAATTAAATAAACTTCTTTAAGAAATTTTGGCCATTCATCAAGGATGATTTAATGATTTTCTTCTAAGCTTTTTACGATGGGAAATTGATTAATATTTCCTTGAAACATTTCCTTTGTTCCTACCTTTTGTATCTCAATTTTAGTTGATGGGTCTCTATTTTATATGTTTCGCACTAAAATAGGCATTCGTCAGGATATTATATCGTTACTTTTTTAAATAATATAAAATAATTATAAGATAATATATGTTTTAAATTTTTTAATTATTGATAATATACATCTAAAGTAGTATTAAATGAGGACAACACTCCTTTTAACCACTGATATATCTTATCTATGAGACTCTTAGCATATTATTGTTAACTTAAATGGTTAAATGAATATTATTATCTCTTGAGGTCTTGAGTACGAGCATGACGTATATAAGGGTGTATAAACGTTTATTGTGAAATGACTAAGAGTCTTTCAAATAGATACTAACTTATATTCACCTCAAACTAACAAAAAAATTGAGAGTTGTTATCATCCACCCTCTCTACCCCCATTTAAACAACAATATTCTTTTTAAAATTAATTGAGTGACCCCAACGATTAAAAAAAATATTGTTCTCTCTTGAGATCTGAGTTCGAGCAGATGCGTATACATGGTGAGTGTTGTCAATGGTTAAAAAAATTATAAACATATATTATATTGTAATCATTCTAAACTATTCAAAAACTTGATAATATTTCTTATTCAAATTGATTTTTTTGTGTATTAGAAATTTGTAAACTAAAAAGATAACTAAAATAAAATTAACATAAAATAAGATATATAGAAGATTTTTTTTTGACGCAATTTGATATTGTTAATGGACCGACACCCTTTGCTATCTTTTTGTTTGGCAATGAGGCATGAATAATCAGTGAAATGTGACCTTAAATCTATATATATATATATATATATATATATATATATATATATATATATATATATATATATATATATATATATATATATATATATATATATATATATATAATAAAAAGAGAAACAATTATTGTTGAAAGCTTAATGATAAAACTTATGGGTCATTTAATTCCAAAGAGAGATGTCCTTTTTTGTTCCTTTTTCTTCATGTGAAAAGTAGGAAAAAAAAGTTGCAACAAGCATTCACAATTCACCTTGAGCTCCACATTAGCCTATATAGCATCAAATATATAGCTTACCAAGGCCGTGATTCAATCTTAACTTCTACAATATAATATTTATACATCTTTATAAATATTTATCACATCAAATTTAAATTATTTATATCGTAAATATACAATTAAATTATTTAGCATACCAATATAAAATGATTATGACAATATTTCTTTACCCTTTTTCTAACAATTTAACAAAAAAAAAAGAATCAATTCATTCATCTCCATTAATCCGACTCACCAGACACCAAACCTAACATAATTCAATCACGAGCTTTGAAACCATTGGACAAAGACAGGGACGAATGCAAAATTTAATGTTTAGAAGGATGAACTTATAAAATTTTAGGAGGGAGCGAACTTATAAAATTCTAAGGGACGAAAAGAAATTATCCATTGAAAAAACAAAAAAATCCAAAAAAAAATCCTAATTTAAAATTTTCATAAGGAATTACTGTCCCACTCATCTCTTTGATCCATTCCTGCATAAAGGGAATTAAGCAAACAAACAAGAAAATAATGTTTGTTCTTGCAAATCATAATCCAGTACTTGAAGACAGCCTACTCATCCATTCCATTAGTGTGGTCAACAAAGAGCTACGTTCATATATTAACAACCACAATATATGCTATTCCTAGCATATGAAAAGAATGAGGAAAATGGTATCATAGAAAAGTTTTAAAAAATGTGGGGTTTGGGTACACTATACAAGATAAGGCTTGGTATAATATGATTCGGAGATTCATTTATAACATTTTAAGAATGTTAAGTTGACTATGGACATTGGAGGAGTCAATTTTCGTTATGTGACTCGATCCCATAATAGTATGACTAATAATCTGGCGAAAGCAGGTATGAAGACACGAGAGATGTTTAAAGCTTGGTGCTGAAGTTCTTTGTGCGGATGATCATTTCCTTGTTTCTTGTTTTTGTTGATTATTAGACTGAGCTTAAATAACTTCAATGCATATTTAAGTTACCGAAAACAATAACAAAAGCTAAGTAGAAGCATTTCAAATGCAACCTAAACATTGTTTTTCCTTCTACATGCTGCGTACTCGAAATGTCTCTACGCAAATGGAATGTTCATTTGTTGAAAACTCATAAATGTATAAAAAATGCACTCACCTATGACATGATGATTTCTATGTGACATCATGTGGATTATAGAATCTGACTGTTGTATTATTGTTGGGTGGATCAACATCTGTCTCTTTACCCATCTTCTTTTTCGATGGATATTATGTTTTATGCCATAAAGAGATTTCTTCAATAAGTAGACATAGTCTTCATTTCTCGAGACTATAAAACCCTCTTATTGTTGCATGTAGTTGTCTTCCCCAACATCTCCATGTAAGAATGTTGTTTTTACATATACTTATGCAAGTTCGAAATCATACATGACAAAAGTATCAAGTAACACTTGAATCAAACTCGTTTAACAATTAGAGAAAACTCATATGATAATTGTATGATTGTCATAATTATTTTGTTATTACATACACATTATTAAGTGAATACTAAAAAGGTTTTTCTCCAACTGAAATATATGATAAAAATTTCATAAAAAAAGTTTGACTTTTCCCAAATTTAATTTCTTTTATAAAATTCTGTCGGAAACTGTTTGTTTTTCTTTTTTTGATGGTTTCTTTGGCTGTTCTTTTGCATGGAAATGGGACATGATTTCCCATGTAAGGTGTGACCCTAAATCTCTATTAAAAGGTCAATCATTATTGAAAGCTCGATGATAACACTTGTGGGGGCAATTAATTCCAAGAAAGGCGTCCTTTTCTACTCCTTTTTCTCATGTGAAAATAAGATATAGGAAAATGAAGCGCCAACAAACATTGACAATCCATATTGATATCGATATTAGGATTTAACTAATATAAAGAGATAGATCTTGATTAAATAATTTGAGCGATCTATTTAAATTAGTGTTTTTGGTCATGAAACGTATCAAATAACTTCAGTGATAAAAGAGATGATTATTTTTCATAGAGGTCATGGATTCAAGTAGTTTCGTCTATATGATGTGTGCGTTGTCGACAGGTTAATAAAATTCTGAACATAAAATACCATATAATCATCTCATACTATTAAAAAAAAATTGATTTTGATAATTCGAATCAAGTTGTTGGTGCCACCCTCCTCTTCCATTGTTCACATGACTACAACTCTTAGGTGCATATCTAGTACCCGTCTTGTCTAGTCATCATCCAATTTTGTCCGCCCTAAAATTGTTTTGAGAATGAACACGTATATTAACATCACAAAATTTTTATATGATGTAGTTACAAATAGTATTTTAAGATGGACAAAATCAATAAAATATATAATTAACCGAACAAAATTCAAATTTTAATGTAGATACTTACCCTAAGTAAAGAGTGGATCCGCCCCAAACCACTCCGTCTGCAACCCTTAAAGACCCCCTCTGGAAACCCTAAATAGCCTCAAACTCATGACTCTCCTAATACATGAAACCCCAAACCTATGACCCCGCATGTTCTATAAAGCCTAATATTGAAGTTTAACCCCCATTTCCCGATGTTGCACTTCAAATTAGAAAGAAGAAAGCGATGATAATAATTTTAGCCTAAACTATATGAATGGACAATAAAGTGTAAATTTTTTTAGCACTTAAGTTTCAAAAGTAATGAAACGGTCAAAAGAGCCCTAAATCATTTAAATTCATATTATTTTATGTTTGTTTATGTTTGTTTTTTATTTTAACGAACTAATACGAACAAGAAATTATATTTATTAATTGTTCATATTATGGATAAACTACAAGTTTAATACCCATCTATCACTTTTGTTCTGTTTTGGTCATCCAACTATTTTTTCTTCAAAATCATATCTAACATTTAATTTTGGTTTTATTTTGATCACATGCGGTTAAAATTCTCATAATTTGTCTTGATATATTTTAATTATTTTGAAATATACCATCCATTATCCCTCACGTGTCCATCTTCCCCCTCCGTATAATCTCATATTCCTAGGATGAGTCTATAACGAACGTAGTATACCAAGAAACATGGACACGTCCCCCCTAACAACCCTTCTTTAAAGATAATAATTTTTAATTTGAAATATCTCATTTTGTACGACCCATTATCCCTCACATATCCATCTTCCCCTCCATACCATATATATAAATCTCATATTCCCATCAGAAAAAATAACATAAAAAACCACCTTCACTTCAAAACCTTAAAAAACACCATAACCCTCGTCCCCCCCCCCCCAATATTACCTTTCTATCAACTTCGGTTTTTGCCTTGAACATGAAATCAACATGGATCCCAAAGCTTCGACTACGGCGGAGATGCTCGAGGCTGGTGAAGGAGCAGCAAACCCGGTTTTATATTATATGGAGGTGCACGGTGTTGCTTCTACGTCGGGAGGAATAATCATGTCTCTCAACAGTTGAAAGCACAAATTAAAAAGTAGAGAAATTATTTACGCCTAAGTTTAGCTTCTTTTTTTAATAGTTACGATGATTATAAAGTAATATCTATTTAAAATATTTTTAATTAATTGATAATGTGTATACATCCTGTAAACTCCAATTCATATCTTTTGGAGATAACAATATTTTCTAGTTTAGCTTTTGTCAGAATTGTATGCAAGCTTTTGTAACAACAACAACAACAAAACCCTATTATCATATGCGATGGGGTAAGGGGAGGTAGTATAGTAGGTTGTCCCCAATGCCAGGTTGAGAGCAGCTTCCGTGGAAGATCTCCGACCGTCAGAAAATTTAAAATAAAGATACAATACAATGCATGTATAAATAAATATATAAATACATAATTGAACAGTCTTCTTATACCGTCTTCATATACGCGTCTGTAATGAGAAGTAATCCCTCAAAACTTGTGAAATATGTATTAATGTTCTGATGGGCTTTCTTTTTCAAACTCTGAAGTTTGTTTTCCAGCTCTTTATCAGCTTCAACAATCATTCCTTATCTGGAAACTCTGAAACAAATTGTTTGGAGGTTTACTGATTTGGGAGCTGTGGACCTCTTTGAGAGGCTTTTTCTCTTTACAGGTTAGCTCCTGAAATTAAAAAAATTATGAAGCTTTTAGAGAAGTTTGTGAAGAATTATCTGATAGGTTAATTTATTAGATCTTTCAGCAATCTATATTGTCTTCGTGTCAAAGTTTTATCTCCCGTATTATAGTACTTGTACACAAACACGAGTATTTATATACGTCCTGACTCGAACTCCTAACTTATTTTTAATAAGTTACCGTTAAGCAACTATGATATTGCTTGAGCTTCGGGAGATTCGAACTCCGAGTGTAAATGTTGGTATGTTTTTGCATGAAGCTCCGTCAATTATTTGGAAAATAATTTTTTTATTATAAAATTATCTTAAAAGATTCGAAATTTTTCCAATGAATTTATACTTTAGTGCATTTCATCATTTGTAAACTTGTTGTTACTCTCTTAAAGTGAGTTTGGTTAGGTGAAATAGTTCAAAATGGAAAGAGGGAAGGAGAAAGTAATTTTTAAAAGTCATAATGTAAACAAATATCCTAACCTTTGATAGTATATGTAAATCTGTCCCTATTATTTTTTTGAAACACTTGACCCCACAACGTTTTATTTTTATTCAAAAGTCACCCCGTTGGATGGAAATCGTTAGTCAACTGACGGTCAACGCAATCCGGCTGACAAAACTTTATTTAACCCATAATAAATGTTCAGCTACTTGTGAGAGCATACAAGTTAGTGATATCTCCGGGTCGTTCCGCTAGGCACCATTCCTTGCTTTGCAGAATTCGAACACCTTTTTGATCATGTTGTTACTACTTTCTAAGTAAAAAATAAAGAGTGTTCCTGTGCTTGATCTGGCGGATGGAAAGATAGATAACATCATAACACAGTCGGCTTCCATTCACATGTTAGCGAAATGCACTGGACTTCACTGGTTTGAAAGTTGGGGAAGTACGAAGCTTTCGGAGATCGGTCTTCCCGCAATGTCCACTAAGGAAATTATCACAGTGAGTGACTATTATCTTTCAGGTTTTCATTTCTAACGATTCCAGGCTTTTTCATGGCCATTGCCATTACTCGTATGAATATCGCACACACGAGTCCTGAGTGTCCCGATGGCCACTGTGCCCTCTCGTCATACATCGTTAAACATTTACTAATTATCATCTACAACCTATGTCTCTGAAGAGCGTCAAGTTAAAAGATTTGTATAAGTTGTATGAAGCTCTATAAGAGACTTTAGTGAATCTCTCTAAGGATGCAGTCCTCTATGGTGCTTTATGCAACTTAACTACTGAAAATTTTGTTTCTGTGTCAGCATCATTTGGACAAAGTTTGGTATTTCTTCCTTTGAGCTGTTCGATTTTACGAGGTCAGACCTGACTTGATTATCATTTAGATATGTTCTAATCTCGTTCTCTTTTTCCTTTTGATCGTCTCTAACTATATCACAAGTTATGGTTCGGTACCTGAGGATCTGTATTTTTACAAGTATTGAGGGTTAAGTAATGTCTGACCACGACACGAGTACGTGTTCAAGGCTTCGGTTTCTTGATTACTTTGTGTTTTTCCGGTCTTTATTTCTTTGCATTTCTACCATTTTAAACCTATTCAATCAAGATGTTAATGAATTGCAATTCGTACTCTAGGTATACGAAAATGAACCAGTGCTTCAGGCCTTTAAGTTGATGAGGAAAAAGAGAATCGGAGGCATACCGGTCATTGAACGCGGAGGGGGAAATGCTATAGGTAACATAAGCCTTCGAGATGTACAGTTCCTTTAAACCGCAGCTGATATCAACCGTGATTACAGGTTCGTAGTGGATTATGCTAAACTTGTGTATCACATTAGATATGAATGCCTATAAAGTGTTCTGAGTTGAAGTCCTTTTGATGCATAGATCAATAACAGCCAAGAACTTCCTAATAGTGGTTCGGAACTACTTGGAGAAACACGAGAAGATATCGCCTATGTTGAGTGGGATGATAACTTGCAAGAGAGATGAAACAGTGAAGGACTTGATTCAGAAGCACGACTCAGAGAAGATCCAGAGAGTGTACCTCGTGGACGATGACGGGAACTTGGAAGGAGTAATCACGCTGAGAGACATCATTTCGAGGTTGGTACACGAACCGTGCGGATACTTCGGTTATTTCTTCGACAGTGTGTTGCCTTTACCTGAAAACAGCAGGGTCTAGAAGAGTAACCAAGACAGGTTTAAGGCTTTTTCTTATGAATAATGAAACAAGAATTTTCTTTGTGAATTTTCTGGTTTTTCATTTGCCTGTGTGTTGGGAGATGCAGATGGTAACATAGGTGAGCCTTTGTAGTTAATTTTCTTCCAGCTTCTGTAAAATTTTGGTGCATTCGAGAACTCAATTTGGATGTGCTGTGCTGCAATGTAATAAGAGGAGCCATCTTCTTGGAATGAATATATAAACAGGAAGTAGTATGGGTTAAATAAGGTTTTGTTTCATTACAAAATTGAGTAGTATGCTTGGCCTGGTGTCAAGAGTCATTTCATTTCATGCCCTTGCCACATGTTTGAGTCCCCTTCCACTCAAGTAGTTTTTATTTATTTTTTCAATCCTCACCAATAGGAGAGTGACACGTGTCGCTCTCTCATTAGTACAAAACTCTTAAAAAAATATTAATTTTTTAATAAAAAAATTTGATGTGTCAATTCCACGTCAGAAGTGGACATGCCACGTCATCATTTGTTTCCACATGTGCTTGCTTAGTCATGGAGGCATTGACCGTTAGTTGACTAACGGTTTTCATCCAACGAAAGTGACTTTTGAATCAAAATAAAACACTGTAGGGTCAAATGTTCCAAAAATAATAATATGGCCAAATTTACATATACTGTCAAACGTTAGGGTTATTTGTTTAAAAAATAAAGATTGTTGGCGATAAGAAAGGAAAATTGAGAGGAAAGATGAGATTTATCTAAAGAAAAGATGAATGCATAATTTAAGAAAATAAGTTGAGTTTAAAATTATTCAAGGAACTAGGACTTTTGTTACAATATTTGATGAGGTTTTTTATAATTAACGATGATTTTAGATGAAGTTGTCTCTTCTTGTATGAAAATATAAATAATTATAGATGAACCATTTGTCGCTGCATCATTCTTGTTTAACGGAGGCTTTGAAGAGGACTTATCGATGTCGACAGTTACGCTGTCCAGCTTCTCGTCCTGCTTGGGTAGAAGAGGATTAGTGAATTGGGACTCTGCATTGGAGAGACTTTTTTCTTCAGCTTTTGCTCCATCAGCTGTTGCAGGAGGATTCTTAACTTTTCCTTTAACCTTGACAACAGCTGCCATATGACTGCTGCCCTTTTGAAACTCATTCAGTATATCGTACAAAGGCATATCAGCTGGAACCCAGTTGAAACATCCCATACATGAATTTTTTATACTTATTAATGGATAGAAATTGTAAAAATTATTTATGAATAACTAGGAAACCTTGGAATTCTCCGGATGGAAACAGCACTGGCTGGTGTCTCGGTTTCAGGGCGTACAGTTAGAAGGCTTTTCACCTTACTCCAATTTTTAAACAAGATTTGAGATGAACAATAAATAAAATAACCAACAAGATCGCGAAAGCCTTAGATGAGACTTCGTGGAAACACTTTTAAGTCTAACACATACCAGCAGAAGTCCGATATTGTTTTTCGGATTCCCTGAGTAGACAGGCACTCGGCTATGACCTCGTGCAAGTATCTTACCCATTGCCTCCCTGAGGTAAGAGATGAATGCACGGGAAACATTACCATATGAATTAATTCGTATGACATATTAGCTGGTATGAAATACAAATTTCAGCACATAATAATGATCCATGCACTAATCCTTCTTATATTAACTGCAATATGAATTGAATAGCAACATTACCAGTCCAACTTTGAATTGACATCTAAAGAGAGAGTTGATTCTATAGGTGTCATAGCCTCCTCAGCCGTCTGTCCAAATATTACAACAAAAACAGGACAAAGTAGTTTAGGATGCTGAAATTGTTTTTAACAAAGATCCCACTGAAGCCATGATGTCAATAAAGAAACTAGCATGAAAATTCTAAAGCTTATGTTAGGTTAATACTGTTCCATTATTGCAAGTTTGCAACGTTAAGTGGCCATTAACACCAGAAGCTACCAAATGATCATCAATCGCTTTAGTTTTATTGTGATGCATACCTTTTCTGTCAGATCTAGTGCTCCACTGATAATCGTAGTCTCGTCATGAGTGAGCTCACCTCCCTTGCCAGCCTAAATAATTAGGCCAATAAAGAATCTACATCATGATAAGAAGATGGAGAGATAGGATGTAATGGAAATTTTCTTCCTGTTCTAGAATTCTTGACAAAGTAGCATACTCTACCAAGGAATTACTATATTGTGAAACCTGAAGCAACATCAAATTGACTTACCTCCTGGCTGTGGATGGAGACGAGAGCTTTTAGTTGAGCCCGCCTAAATAGTGCATCATTATTCCCCAGCATCCAATCCAGAATCTGGAAAACATATATACTTTCAGTGCTTCATCAATTCGAATAGCCTGTTAAAATTACCCGTGTTTATAGTACTTCAATTGCATGTCTATGTTCATACTTTCTAAGAACTACCTAATAATCTAGCCAAGTGTATAAACTTTAGAATAAACTTTTTACAGTATGGGAGTTTAACAGAGTGCAAATCATATACCTTTCCAACGGGATAAGCTATTGGAAAGCAAATAAACATTAAGACCCGCACCACTCCTGATAAATTTGCACCAATAGCAAGCCCATATCTTGTGCAAACTGCTTGTGGAATAACCTTAAAAGTACAAGGGAATGTCTTGTTCAAGGATTCAAAGGATGAAGTGAAACTAATACCATACAAAAGTTCTTCTTCTTCTTTTTTTTTTGAACAGCTTACCTCACCAAAAAGTAGAACGAAAGTCACAGAAAGTATGATAGCAAGATACTCATTGAAAAGCTTACCCAGGTATATAGGAAGGGCCTGCAAATTGGAAATGTTAAAGCGGTCAATGAAATTCAACTTCATTTGAGCATTCTTAATAATTAAATCATACCCAATTGATCCAAAAAAAAAAGTAATTAAATTACTTCTTACCTCCATAGCAACAGCATTGCAAAGAAGCAAAGTCACCAAAAGCTGATGCTGCTTTTGAACCACAGGCAGAATAGCAGCTAAAAACACCAACAACAAAAAAAACTCAAATCCAATATAGTGATGAACAACGATCAAAAGTTAACCATTTCTTTACATATTTTCTATTTTTCAAATAGTAAGTAATAAAAACAAAAGTATAATGCCTTTGTACCAGCTTGTTTTTTCTCAGTGGGAGTGCCGCTGCGTTGAAGAATTTCGAGTTCGACGAGACCGAGGGACATTAGTCCGAGTGTGAGGCCCCGACATCATCCCGGCGAAGAGTACGAAAAAGCAAGAATAGCCTGCGTATATGAACCACCATAGAGTTCCGAACGGCATCCCTCCTCCGGCGGATTGGAATCCGTCAACCGAGTACGCCGCTGCCGCCGTATTTGAAAGCATCATCACCACCAACACCGAATATATCGGATGCATCATGGCTCTGTGTTTCAGTTACGGGGAAGTCCGAGAGAGAAGTGAAGAAGCAGGAAAAAGAGTTTTTCTAAAAAAAAAATCTATTTTATTTTCGTATTTTTGTAGGCACCAAAAATGAGAAAATGATCACACACGGCAGTCTTAATATACGATTAAAAATATGATTGAAAATATTATTAGATGCAATCGGTTTTATTATTATTGAGAGTTTTAATCGAATTTCAAAAAAATGATCGAAAATATTATTAGGCGCTATTAAAATTATTATTCTTGAGAATTTTTATCGAAAATATAAAAAAATAATATTTTAGATAAAAATAATAATATTTAAGATAAAATTTTATCGATTTTATTATTTAAATAATAAAAAAATCGATAAGGTTTTATTTTAGTCTTATAGTAGAGTGCATATTGTAGAACTTCCTCTAAAATGAGAGGGAATTCGACGGGGACACGTGGCAATACGAGAAGGTTTTACTATGTCGTTTTCTGGTATTCGGAAGAACAGAACGGAATTACTTTTACACACGTGGCAGAAAAGTATTGGGTAATTTTGAGGAAATCTTGGTCTCAATGCAACATGTAAAAGGAAACTATTCACATTAATTTGTTTTAAGATAAACTACTGTCATATATCCACTGAACTTTATTTATTGATTCGTTTATTTTATTGGACTTTTAATTTTATTAATTATAATATTAAATTTCAGTTTTACATTCAAGTATGTTACCTCACCGTTAAGTCACTAACGTGAAGATGATATGGCTAATGGATGCTGACATGGCATGTCACACCAAAACGACATTGTTTCGGTGCGGTTGTTCTAATGCTTAAAACGATATCGTATTAGACACTAAACTTTTGGGATGTATCAATTTTACCACTAAACTTTTTAATAATTTTCTTTTTTATCACTACACTTTTCGATCACTATCAACAACCAAACACCATCATTCATTGGTCATAGGTTGCGGCAAAATCAATAGCAAAACGTTCGTATTTTACTCATCTTTCTTCTTCTATGATTGATTTTTCATGAAATCCACTCAAAATCAACGAAAATCCATTTTAAAGTTCAAGGTATTAATACTCTGATCTCTTTTAATGACCGACTGATAAAGATAATTTTGAAGTATGTTGTTCGTCTTCTTGAAATAATATTTTCCACCATTCATATTTTTTTAACAAATACCCCAAATCATGTAAATATAATAAAGTCTTCAAACATATAAAAAATGGTAGATTTTTTTGTGTTAATTTCATCGATTTTGAGTTAGTTTTATGGAAAATTTATCATATGAGAAGAATGAGGAGTTAAATGCAAACATTTTGGTACCAAGTTTGCTGCGAAAGATGATCGGTGACGAGCGTCGATTGGCTATCAGTGGCGGTCGAAAAATGCTTGGTAAAAAAGAAAGTTGTTTAAAAGTTAGGTAGCATAATCGATATACCCCTAAAGTTTAGTGTCTAAAACGACATCGTTTTAGGCATAAAAATAACAGCACCAAAATGATGTCGTTTTGGTGTGGCATGCCACGTCAGTAACCGTTAGTCATGTCATCCTCTCGTTATTGACTTAATTGTGGAGTGTCATAAATGAATGTAAAACTAAATTTCAGTGCTATAATTGGTAAAATTAAAAGTTTAGTGATATAAACGAGTTAATAGACAAAATTCAGTGGTATCTGGTATAGTTTACCATTTTTTATAGTAATACTAAACGTTATTAATTAACTAATCACACTTTTTTACAATATTTTCTCATTCAATTGGAATAAATTTAATTTAAACGATTTTGTTGTTAAGGGATTTATTGTTATTTCTCTTGAGGTCTCGAGTTTGAGTATTACATATGTGTATAAGTATTCATTATCAAATGGTTAAAAAGTTTTAAACAAATATTATCTTATATTTTTCATATTTTTTAAAAAGAAAATATCAGTTTAAAATATCAATTAAATTAAAATAGTTGAATCATTTAAATATTGAAATCTAAAACATTTTAATCGAATTAATCAACTTTAAATAAATAATATAAACCTAAATTAAATGTATTAATATTATCGACCAAACTCATATCCAAACTCAAACTCAAGGCAGCAAGAAATGACGACAAATGTGAAAGAAGAAAGACAGTTCGTTGGTGTGTATATTGGAGCAACCTACAGCAACGGGTAAATCAAATTTGTTTTGTTTGTGTGATAATATTGAGAGTTATATTATACATCGAGTGTTTAAAGTTCTATACATCGAGTGTTTAAAGTTCACACAATGAAGAAGATAATAAATATGATTCAACCATAAATTTTTATATTGACAAAAACGAATTATGATAATTGGAGTATTCAAATTAAAATCTTATTTTGTTAAGATATCGTCGAAGAATGATATATCGATGCCGAAAATAAAATCGTAGAAATAACTTTAACTAATGAAGAAAAAAACTAAAAGAATCTACTAAGAAAGATAAAATGACGTTATTCTTTATTTTTTAAAGAATAAATAAATATATCTTTGAAAAAATTTAGATGCAAATATCGTAACCAAATGTAGGAGAAATCTCTTTAAGATACTGACAAAATTAAAATGATACGTTTACAATCACTTAGAACTGAATTTGAAATATTAAAAATGAAAAATACATAAACTATTAATGACTATGTTTACTATATAAAAGTTGTAACAAATGAAAAGAAAAGAAATGATGAATCTCTTGATAAGGTCAGAGTGATGAAAAAGATTTTACCGTTATTGATATGAAAATTTGACTACATGATCGTTGTAATTGAAAAATCAAAAGATTTATCTCAAATATCAATCATAGTTTTTGAATTCACTATAAGCCCATGAGCATAAAATGAATCAAAATAGAGATACTAAAGTTTTGGAACAAACTCTGCAAAACAAGGTGAACGTCAATAAAGTGAAGTCATTAAGAGTTATACATGAGACGGAAGAAACCTTGATAGATATCGTGAAAGATATAGAGGTGACTTTCACCTACCAGTGCATTCAGAAAAGTTATTTGATCGAGAAATTTGCTAGCGCATTAAAAAGTACAAGATCATTAGTGGTCGACAGTAGTAATAACAAATATGTGGTGATTATCATGTAAAGTATTTGTAAATTGATGAATAGCTTTGTTATAATAGATTACTATATACAAGTCTAGAGAGAGAGTTTTTGAATAGTCTGGGGTGATTACAATATAGTATTTATTCATAAAATTTTTTAGTCATTGACAATGCACACACACCTTGCAGACATAATTGTTCGAACACAAGACTTCAAGGGAGAACAACACTTCCTTTAACCAGTAAGGTCACTCGATAGATTCAAAGATAGAGTTCTATTGTACATAGTCATATAAAAACCTATTGTACACAAGTTATAAAATCGCAATTAAATACAATATACAAAAATTATTAATTAATTAATTAAAATTACTATTGTTTATTGATAACGGCTTATTCAAAATAGAACTAGACCATGGTCATATTATTAATTATTAGATAGTATGCATATTGTCCAATAGCTTTAGGCTACAACTGAACTGATACACGAATAGAAAAGTAACTATATGTATTTTCATGATATGATGACACGTTCATGTTTGATGATCATGGGAGCTTTGAGATCCTCGCAACACAATTGTCCGTAGGAGTTGCCGCAGGAAATTTAACTGGACTTTTCGGATTAATCCGTTCAAATCTGCAAGTTTAGTTCCAGTTCATGAAACCCCTCAAACACCAGCAGTTTTTTATTTGATTTAATCATCTCCATTCATTCTCATAGGATACCTACCTGTAGTTAAGGAGGAAGTAGTGAATGAAGATGGAAAACTCGAGTTTGGCTAGATCACCACCAGGACAAGTCCTACTTCCTGCTCCAAATGGCATAAAACACCCAGATTTTGGTGTATGATTCTGCTTTCAAAGTGAAACATTGACGGATTTTGTGGGTTAAATTACTATTTTCAAACTCTGAATAAGATTAGCGTGGTGTGTTTTACTACTTACATCCCATCTTGAGGGAAGGAATTCATTCGGGTTCGGATAAATTTCCGAATCCTTGTGAAAACCTCTGATCCAAACCATAACTTTCCATCCTTTGGGTATGGTAAAACCATCGAGTTTAACATCGTTTTTCGCCTTTCGAAAAATTGCCCATGGAATACCGGATATTCGGAAGGTCTCATTGATGGCCTATAATTTACAATGAGGGTGACTTGATTCATGATCGGCAAAACATTTGGAAAAAAAATTTAGATATAATGACAAAATTAGTATCCAACATTTGCATAAATGATCATTTTACACTTTATATTTTTTTGAAGTATTTTAGTTTTCAACATTTCAATTTTGATCAAAATAGCTCACGTTGGATGGAAATCATTAGTTCACCATCAGTCAATAAATATTGTTGACGTGACATTTTCATATAAGATTAATTGATGATGTGATATATATCACGTCATTTAAAGTGATGATGTGTCATGTGTCACATCATTTTAAGTGATGATGTGTCATTATATATGTCACATCATCAATCAATCATATTGAAAATGACATCAATAATTTATGTTGACAGTTAGTCAACTACTAGATTTTATCTAAAATAGATTATTTTAACTTAAAATTGAAATATTGAGAATAAAGTACTCTTAAGAAAATAAAATAAGAAATAAAATGATCATTTATGAAAACGTTGAGTTCTAATTTTATTATTATACCAAAAATTAATGACATAACATACCTTTGATGTGTATTCCATCTGTCTAATTTCGTTTAGAGTTAAACCTTTTTGTGAGGATGGTCTTCTCTTTACGATCTCCTCTTGTTCTTCCTTGACTGCTTGTAGGATTTCAGGATGATCGTGAAGGTAAATGGTGAGCCACACCGCAACCTGTGCAGTTGTTTCATGACCAGCTAACAAGAACCCCAGTAGTATGTTAATAATTAGTTCATCTTCCAGCTTTTCACCATCATTGTCTTTAGCTTCCAAGAGTAGGTCGATCATGGCTTTTTCGATGTTCGGATCATCGCCGTTTCTGTATCTTCTTTCATCCAGGTGAGATTGAATGCCATTTACCAATATCTTTCTAGCCTGATATCATGAAAAATCAACTTTTACAAGCTCAAAATGAGATTAATGATGCAACATAAATTTTACCTTGAGGGCTCGATGGAACAAAAAGCCGGGAACATCGACGGGTAGCAGCGAAAACGCTCCTCGGAACACGAGTCCATACTGCTCGATCATTGACTCGGACATGAAATCAGCAGAGCCAGTGAAAAGCTTTGTGATGACCCTGAAACTGATTTTTTTCCACTCGGTTACGTATTCAATTGGGGAGGTGTTATTAGCCCACTCTTCCAATGAAGAAATCATGATGTCCTCGATACATCGGATATACATGGAGAGTGCTTCATGGCCATTGATCGGGGCAGCTAATAGCTTGCGCAAACGCCTGTGCTCTGATTTTGTAATACCAAGAAATGACTTTCTCCCGAATAATTTCATCAAAGACGAAGGATAACCGGCTTCGAATCGCTCGTCGTCCGTCAAAATCTTCCGGGAAAGCTCCGGACTACAAACTATGACGCTTGGATTCCCGAACAAGCTCGTCTTGTAGATCCCAGTTCGACCATACCTGTCAAGTGAAATCATAAAAATTACAGTTCATGCAAAGATCAAGGTTAGTGGAGACAAAAGATAAAGAAGAAGACCTGTGAACAAGGTTGTTGATGAAGGAATCAGGGTCGCGGGATCTGAAAGCTCTGAAAAAGGAAATCATATTCCCAATGAAAGGCCAACCCATATCCCCCGGAGGGAGAGAGCTATGCTTCTTCCTCCCCAACCGAATAACATAGTGCCATTCGTTTATTTGCTTAAGAAAACCAAATAGGAAAACATATGCTCCCGCCATTGCTGCCAGGATCAACCACACCAAATTAAACTCCATATTCTTGCTTGTCATTTTCCCTCTTCTTCCCTTTTGGGTTTATACAAGATATCTAATATGTTGCGACTCTAGTTGATATCGAGTTTCAGCCATGACTCTAGTTTATATCGAGTTTCAGCCATGACTCTAGTTTGTATCGAGTTTCATCCATGGCTGAAGTAAAAAAATCATATCTAATATTTTGACTATTAATTTAAAAATGATATAATAATCGTTTTAATTCTCATAATTTATACATTCTATCATATTAATCATAATTTAATAAATATATGATATTTATATAACTTATCAGTGCTATTTTTAGAATTTATTTTTAGGGTTTCGTTACTAAAATAAATTTAAAGAGGTTTGACTTTTGAGATACCATTTCTTTTTCTTCTTTTTTTAGTTTGGGTTGTTTTCCTCGTTTAAGCCTAAGCTAATTGGATTACATGGCAGAATCAGCCTTTTATTCAACAAGATGTGAAAAATATGTATAGTTATAGGATATATTACAAATTTCATCACTCAATTTTTTATTTTATCACTTAATAAGTTTAGAAAATTTTAATTTACTCGTTGAACTTTCGTTTTACTCCTATTTTGATCATTATGGTGTTAAATCATAAAAAGAAGGACGTGACTTTGTATTGATATAGATTTTATGTATCATCCATGTCTTTTTTTCTTTTTTATTTAGTCGTCCTCTGAAATTTTAAAATTACTATATATTTTAGATTTTGTACGTATTTTATGTTGAAAATATGTTCTCACACCCTTAGAATTTTATAAGTTCATCACTTCTTAAAATTTTAAAAGTTCACTCCCTTTAACATAAAATTTTACATCTGTCTCTAGTCATACAAGTTGTCTCACTTGATTATATTTGGTTATCTATCATAAATGCATTAATAAGTCGGCTTTTGTTCGATATCTATTCATACCATATACATCCATTACTAAGATGAGTGTTGTTTTGGTCAATGTCTGAGTTGACCATCTGGTTTGGTTGAGTGTTGCCGTTGTGATTGTTTCCCAAGTGGTTTGGATTGTTGTTATCCTATTTTTGGGTTGTTAGCTTTCTCTTATGGGCTAACTGATTATTGTTAGATTGTTTGAATGTGTTCAGTCCGTTGGTTTTATTGTGGGTCAAACTTATAATGTTCATTTATAGGAGCATTGGGCTATATAAATCAAAGAAGATTAAGTACGAAGATCTTGTAATATGATGATGCCAATAGGCCTGTAAACGAATTAAACAAACACAAACGATGATATATTCATACTCGTTTATTTAATTTTAACCGAACAAATGATAAATAAACACGAACAACTAAATTAATATAAATTTGCGGGTTTGTCAATCCTTCTTCAAACACCCTTCTCAATAAGCATGTAAACGAACTGAACAAACACAAAGGAGAATATGTTCATACTACTCCTTGTAGTTGGGACTTAGGGTTCTCCTTGCTATGTACTTTGGCCTATTGCTTATATTATAGAGTAAATCAAATTCATGTAGAGTCAAGGCCCGTATTTAACGTATTTTGCCATTTGTTTTCTGTTTACATTGATACATTTTGAGTCTTTCATTATGTTCCTCATAGTTTCATTTCAAATATTTCTATTGATAAAATAGAATATTATCGTTATGTTATTACTTGGTCAAAAAATGCTTGGAATACATATATTGTCGTTGTAACGAAATAAAGCCTCTTGTTCAAATAGGAGAAAGGCAGGCAACAGCGGAGAGCATGGTGCTTGTTTTCATGAATTATTATATTACGTTTTGTGAATTCAGAATTATTTAACGTATTTCAGTCAAATTAAGAAAATTGACAACAAAAATAAAATCAATCATCCACCCAAACAAAACCAAGTCAAATTTTTGTTACTAGTTTAACGAGAATTAACTGTCGAGATATCAAAATATATTAAACCGATAATATAAGGGATTAAAATCAAAAATATTTTTGGATTGGTGATCAAAATCAAATAGACCAAAAATATAAGGACCGCCAATATAGTTTACCCAATAAAAATCGAATGGAAATTGGAAAGGAAAAGAAGGGCAAAACAGTAAGAAGAAAAAGAAAGTCAGCCTGAAAGTCAACCTAGGTTGTAAGTGGAGAGATGGTGGAAGTTGTGCTCACTTCTTTTATTAATATAATCACAGTTTTCACTTTTGGCTTCTCCTCTCCACCAATCCACTAAATTATTTCCCATTTTCCTCTTCATCTAGGGTTCCAATTCATGAACAAAATCTACTGATCCAAACTCATACAACAAGCAACGCTATAAGGTACAATTTTTCCTTCCTTTTCGTTTTACTGTTATAGTTCAGTTTATCTCTTCGATCATCGTTTAATTTTTCGTTCAATTTGATAATTTTTTTTTATGATTTCTTTTAGTTATTTCCTTAAATATAGATTTTGAGGAGGCAAGTTTCGTTTGGTTTTGATTCGTAAGTGATACGGTAAGATGACCTATGAAGTAAGCTGTTGTATTAGGCGCGCGTGAATTGTTTATTTTGTATGTTTCTCTGTGCCTATATATGTTCTTGAATGATTTCTGTGATTGTTTTTGTTTTCGTTTTGGAGTTATGATTCTTTAGAAATTTTATTTTAGTATTTATTGCAACTTGGTATTTTTTTTTACTAAGGATAGCTAGAGCATTCATTAGCTGGGGTTTCTTAGAACTGGGTTTTCGCTGGTTAAATAGGGGAAATGTCTTGATTGTCCACTGTTCTTGCCATTTTCCTTCACTGTTGAGTATGAATTAGTTGAATATAGAAACATACATTTTGGTGGTTTGATTTCCGTCAAGATGAGAAGTGATTCATATTCGAGTTTTCCGGGTTTTGGAAATTCATTTTACTATACTTGATTAATTTCCTCTTAGGATGTTTATGATTGTGTAGTCGTTAAAGAAATCCAGTCATTATTTTTTCTTCCATTAGTTTAGGTTTGCTTTGAGTTCCGGAAATCAGTGTATTGATTTTCTTTTATAATTGCCTAATGGGTTATTTATTGCTCGGTATAGTTGTTAAACCAGTATGGACCAGCAAGGCCATGGGCAGATCTCTGCAACGGGCATTGTTAGTAGTGCAGCAGCGGTTCCATATGGTATAGCCTGTTATCAACCTAATCAAATGATGGGAACCTCGGCTCCTGGATCGGCTGGCTCAATTCAATCCCCTACTCAGGCTGCAGGAGCCTCTGCCCCAGCATCTCAGCTGGCACAACACCAACATGCTTATCAGCACATCCACCAACAACAGCAGCAGCAATTGCAACAACAACTCCAGCGCTTTTGGTCAAACCAGTATCAAGAAATCGAGCAGACTATTGATTTTAAAAACCATAGCCTACCATTGGCCAGGATCAAGAAGATTATGAAGGCTGACGAGGATGTTAGGATGATATCAGCTGAAGCTCCGGTAGTATTTGCTAGGGCCTGTGAAATGTTCATTCTAGAGTTGACGCTGAGGTCGTGGAACCACACCGAGGAAAACAGGAGGAGGACCCTTCAGAAGAATGACATCGGAGCAGCGATTACGAGGACCGATATATTTGATTTTCTGGTTGATATCGTCCCGAGAGAGGATATAAAAGATGAGGTTCTTGCATCTGTTCCAAGAGTTGAAGGTCCAGCCGAGGGTCTTCCTTACTATTACATGCCACCTCAGCTCGCTCCCCAGGCTGGTGCTCCGGGGTATGACTGCCAGTAAGCCTGTTGTGGACCACACCTTTTATGGCCAAAACCCCCGCCCTTATGCTGGTCAGCCGGTATGGCCACCACCACCACAGCAGCAGCAGCAGCAGCCGCCTTCGGATTTGTAAATGTAACCCTAATAGCTACTTAAGAGTTTAAAGGACAGGACAAGTGAATTGATCATAATATCCGTAGTATATTAGTATGTGATTGAATTCTACATGATGTTTGTGCAGTGCTATATTGCATGCATTACAATGTAGCTACTCCTTATATATAGTGTAAAATTTCAAAGATGCTTGCTTTTAATGTAAATTCGAAGTTCAATCTATAACATACTACTTATCTTGAGGCATATTCGATACGAGTACGTATTCAATGAGTACGATCAGATACTTCCAAAACTTAGAGATAAAATAGTGGAAACCTTTGTTTACTCTCTACCCCACACTTCAACAACACCAAGAAGATTGAAATGGCCATTATTTATTCTGTTGAATCCTCAGTTTTTATATTATGATTATCAACATTCCATGCTAAAGTTGTTATTCATAACATGAAACAAAAGTTCTAGCACACAAAGGGACTTTCTTGTTGATGCAGCTTGCGAGTGCGAGCAGGGAAGGACATCCGTGTCAGAGTCCGTTATCAAGATGCCGGACAAATCGACTCCAAACTGCACGGTCAGAAGTAAATGGTAAAATTAAATTTTTATTTCACTTTAAATTTACTCATGATAGGAGAGGTACCTTTGCCCCAAGTGTTCAATGATATCAGTGGTAAGTGTTGATCTTTTTTTATGTTCGAAAGCAAGGGCGGCAGCCTTCCTCAATAAAGCAGAGCCAGCAATGCAACCCAACACAATCGGACTTGTTCGACTGCAATGACACCGTGTTTAAGAAGGCAATCGACGAACAACGGTTAGGCAGAGCAAGGAATATGAAATAAAATCAGGTCAAAACTACCTGAGAGTCTTTTCCCTTTCTGTTTCTGAAATGTGCTGCCGAGCCCAAGATAAAAATACAGCAACACTGGCAGAAAATAAAAAATGAAAAAGATCGAAATTATTTGATGCTCTTCGAAAGCTGACTTCAAGGAAACAAGTTTGGTAAAACGAACAATGCACGAGAAGAAAAACAAAGAGGATGTCCGTGAAGCTTGACAATCCAAACAACTGTTGGAGCAATTTCAAGAAACAAATATACAGATGAAATTCTAATGAATCAGTTACCTTCCAGAAAGTATATCACCTTGGCCACCACAACGCCGTGGAGATCCGTAAATGCTTACGGATTGGACTACATAACACAAAAGGTGTAGCGTTAAAAACAGTTCCACGCA